AACCCACCTATCCTCTTTCCCCAAATATAACTTTTCAATACTGTCACTGAACTTATTTGTGCTTTTTCCAAGCTGATGTGCCCAGGTGAGCATAGAATCCATAAATAGAACAGTGAATGTTCTGTTGTCCATTGATATTGTCCATTGGACCCGTTTTAACAATAGAATTTGTTCCACGTAGTACATGCATAGGGGCTGGTCGTAGTAAATGCACAGAGTACAAGTTATCACCCCTGTTTCTTTTGCTACCAAAACATTACAAATACCGTACATGATAACACGTACTCTGTGCATTCACTACGACCAGCCCCTATGCCTCGAGTATTTAACAGTTTAGATATGACCACCATGTGCAATTTGATAGACTAAATTAATTAATTCTTACTGTGGACAGTGGTGAAACTGAGAGCTTGTCCCGAGACAAGGTGAGCTGAGCAATGTCGCCCATATGGCTTCTTGTTAACAGTTTGTTTAAATGTGACCACTGTACAAATAAATTAATATATCAGTATATTGCATGGGAGTGGTCAAATTTAAAGAGGACAAATAAGTCGTGACTTGATGACCAATCCCTATGCCTTGAGTACATTGTATATCCGACAATCCCAAACATAAATGTACGTGATATAACTGAGGAAATTGGAAATGTGTAGTCCTGAAAGGACATCTAGATTAAAACTCTTCTTCTACATCATGTACATTGAGACAATGCAAAATGGTACATACCTTGATATAATCCTGTTCAAAATGAATGGATTGCAGTTAATTTGTCCAAAATCTTCGTGAAACATAATAACATTCACTCTCCGCCATGCCTTCGTCATAAAATTTCCCTCGCTAAATACTCTCGAAAAATGATGTCATGTGATACAAGCTTGAATTTTAGAAAAAATAAAATGAAGGATTTATAAGCTTATACAAGGAGGATTGATTATAATTTGATGTCTAATTTTTTTTTTTGTTTCATTTTATTTTTTATGAAGGTCAACATGGGTGGATCCAAAGGGGATGGGACCACGTATGGTACCCAAGTCCCTTGACAAAAAAGAATATGCCTTATAATAAAATAAATGAAATTAAAACACAGATATGAAATCATTAATTATGACACTGAATCTCCCATCCCATATAATTGTATTCGAGAATTATAGTAGTAATATCTTCAAGACCCGGTCCTTTCATTTTAAAAATTTATTTTAGAGAAGATATTTTAATTTATTTTTCTTGCTAATGCCTATCCAAAATTTTCCACACAGAGATTTCTTGCAGGGATATGGATATCCTCCCCATAAAGTTCTTGGATCTGTTCTCAGTTGAATATTCTCATATGAAAATGCTGGTAGATAAATATCTGATTAGTAAAAGGATTTATCATCATGCTCATATCGTCTGTGATTTTCATATATTATCACTGTGTTCTTTTTCTATCAGTATTTTATCAATCCGTACGGAAGGACGGAAATCCATGGTCTTGTACTAGCAGTGTCTATCCGATGATAATTGTCTTTTAGTAAAAGGTGATAAGTGTAAGGATCTGTCAAAGAAATTCGCGTAATTTTCTACTCGCGGATTAAATAGAAATTTAGATTTCGCGAAATTATGACCCCGTTGAAAAATGTACGTCAACAGTAAATCCATCATGGTTGAAAATCCATTTCCATTAGAATGTCAATTATATTTTTGAACAGCAATCGGGATTTTATAAGGTTTTATTATACATCAATAATTAGCTTAAGTTGCTTTTTTGCAAAAAATATACACCATCAATACAAAATTTTAAAAAATCGAAATAAGAAATTCAATTTATATTATATCAAACCTGCTTTGACACCAGCATTTGTTATTAAAGAGATATGATTCCCTTTTTATCAGAATCTTTGTTGGAGTTACAGCTCATCAGAATTCTCAATGAAGAATATAGATATAACAAACAATATTCAATATCGAAGTCCATAAAACAATTATATAATAGTGTTGCATTATGCATGTACTATGCCTAAATAGTAGGCTGGGTTTTACACTTGGTGCACGAGCCGGAGGCGAGTGCACTATGTGTCAAACCCTGCCTACTATTTAGGCATAGTACATGCATAATGCAACACTATTGTTATTATTATGCTGACTGTTGTAATTATTTATGCGGCAATCTATTTGACTTTTTCCTGAAAATATCGGTGCTTAAACAGCGCACTTGCAAGAACTCATTCAAAATATTCATGCTAAAATTGTTTGCATGCTTAGTTATTTTGGTTACTAGTATTTTCTCTAAATAAGTGGGATTTTCTGTCCCAAAGCAACACATCTTTATTTTCTGTTATGTTAGTAAGCCTTATTTGTTTGCAGACGTCGATTCTCATTGATAATTTTCTTTTACATCCTTCAATCAAGCGTCATATAAAAAAGCGTTTTAATGACCCTATAAAATCAGTTCATCTAACGATCTGTATGTAATTACTAGTAGTTTGAAAGTTTGTTGTACACATTAATCTAAAGTTCCTTAGAATAATATAACTGTTTTCAAATAATATTTGTCTATTCTCTCCTTCTTGTGTCAATTGTATAAATTAAGTTTATATATTTAATAAAATTGCAGCAATCAGTGATCGTCTCTATGGCGTAATCGATAAGGCATCGGACTGACAAACTCATGGTCGTGAGTTCGATCCCCGGCGTGTGCACTGAAGAATTTTATTCAGTAAATAAAGCCGTGCACTATTTCGGCATAGTATGTTTACGCTATATAAATCCTTAGACCACTATGCGAGAATAGTAGGGTATGGGTTATATTGAGACAAACTGACAGGAAGCATAATAATACAAAATAGGAGCAGAGCAAACACGGACCTCCAAAACATCAGAGGTGGGATCAGGTGCAATGGTGGAGTGACCATCCCTGTCGACCGGTCACAGCCGTCAATAATTTACCTCGTTTCAGAAACTGTTCATTCGTAGAGCATGCTCTTGCGTATCGAATCAACTGAGATATATAAACTCCATTTGCAGGTGTTGATGGTATATTGCTGCATAAGTCAGGGAAGTTAACGATAGAAAAGTTTAAGTCATCACGTTTATCACAGAGCATGGTTGTTAGATTACCATTAACGTTTTTTCCAAGTAAAATATCCAAGTATGAAACAAAATTAAGTCGTCTTTATTTACCATCATTTACAGTTTTTATTTGCAATAAATTACAGTTAATGAAAAAATCTTTGAAAAACATATGGGCGATTTAGGTACACTACAATGTAAATATAAGGTTAATATTGGCTTTCCAAGTATTTCGTCAATTAAACTATTTTTGTATTAACTACAAAACTATCACTAATTAGGGGTATCATTTAGCGAACTCATTGCTCACAGTAACTCTAGTTTGGTTTTATATATTGAAAAATATTGAGATAACAAACACGCATTTAACTCAGAGGTCAATTGAAAGAATGGAAATGGTGATTGATTTGATAACAGAGGATAGTTTTTTTTCTCTACTCTTATGGACCTTTTCCATTCAATATGATATTTATGCAAGCTCTTGATTAAGCGCATATTAGATTTTGCTTTAATTCAAAGAAGGGGTTGAGTTTTATCGACATCGGCCGTATGTTACAGGTATAAGAACGCTGACATTGCTAGCTTGGGGAGACCTAAATATAACTAATTGTATAACTAACAAGAGGCCAATGAAACATAACGCTCACCTTAGTTAATGTTGATCTCAATATGCAGAATTATCCCCTACTATTCTTGTGTTAATGGTATATAACATTTTGGCCTTACGTATACCTTATACCCATTATCGGATGCATTTATAACAATAATCAATGTCTTTCTAGTTTAAGGCGATTTTGAAGATTTTTCTGAGGTATTTTTATTAAAATCCTTGGTCACCCTTTGTGGCCACTCGTACTACCCTACTCCTGGGGGTCAAGATTGAATTAAACTTAAATATAAATTGCAGTGAGGGTTTTGTGAAAGTTTCAACCTTATCAAAAGAAAGTTCTGGTACAAAAGGACAAATCATGCCAATTGTAAGTTTGATAAAATAAAACGTATATATTCTTGAGAAGTACATCTAGGAGAAAATTAGTTTACAACGACGACAACAAATGTCAATAAAAGAAGCTTTCTAGCTCATGCGAGCTAAAAGGGTTATGTCATAAAGTAGCCTGTACTAATTCTGCATTAAACTTATCTGAACAGAGTGATCAACCTGCTTTTTCAAAGTGCATTCTGGACTGAAATTAAAAAAATGATCTCTTAATACCGGTAAGTTAAACGACATTGTAAAAATGAAAACTTTGTTTGAACTTCTAGTTTGCAGTTATTCATAGCATGTTCAATAATATTCAAAAGATGCAGTTTTTTGCATCTTACATACAATATTTTGTTATTGATATGCGAATTCAGACGAACAGATACTGTAGAAGTACATTTTTCCGCGTGGTATTAATTTACGCTATGTACGCGGGCACAAATTTTCCGCGGAAATTTGTCCAAGCGTACTTAATATAAATGTAAGGCATATAGTGACAATCTAGGAAATCCGCGTAATTTTCTACCAGCGGATTGAGCATCCGCGGAATTATGACCCCGTGGAAAAAAGTACGTCTACAGTATTTTAAATTTTTGTTAAATTTAATTAAATACTGACGATAGTGATTTTGCTTAATATTATTTGAAACTTAAGGTAAACTTTTGCTCTTTTAACCTGAAAATCAATCACTTGTCATAATCAAAATTATAATATTGTTACTTTACAAATCAAGTATGAAGTACAATGTATTTCATTATTAATTGATTGATTAATGATTGCTAAATTAAAGTCATATTGCGAAGATAACAAACACAGAACTCGGAGTAAATCCATAAATTTAACATGATTAAGTTATTGCAGTAAGCAAAACAGGTATATGTATATCAAGTGTGGAACATATCTGAGAATTAAGAGGATTTGGACGGCATAAACTCAGCCTCATCTCCGTAATTGCCAACACTTTTACATCTGTTCCTATTCAGCTCTTGATCTATTTCTCCAGATGAAGTAGATATTGTTCACGTGACGTGCTTGACTCACAGCATACGGGATCACACATACATCTGATCCATAAAACATGAAACGAAAGAATGAACACTGGTTTTATAACATTCACTGAGTGTTTGTGTATAATGGAATAAGGGAACTCCCACCAGCCATCAAGATCTCGGTATGTAATCGTGAATGGGTGAGTATAATGTTTTAATTAGTGTGTTGTATCATCTTTAGTAAGATTGACAGCGGCTTGCACACAATTTTCTTGAGCTATGTTACTTTGCAAAGCATTTAAGAGACTAAACACATGGCGATGTTTATTTGTAAAAAGATATGCAATAATTATACCTGACTGTATTACTACCAAACTAACTAATGTAACATACTATTTATGAACCACGTAATGAAAGGCTTTTAATATTCTAAAGTCAATATATTTGAACTTATTGATGATTTTTTTTTTCTTGAGAAAGAAAATGTTCAGTTAATTAAATAAATAATATGACTACTTATCAAACATGTCCAAGAGCATTGCAAAAAGTATCTGATTTTTTGTCTCTTTAACACGTTTAAGGAACGTTCAGCTTTGTTTCAAACTGGATATTGATTGAAAACAGTACGTTCTCTTTTAGGACAAGATTCTTTGCATTGCCTCTTCTCTTTCCACATATCTGATTAATTAGTCCAGTGTAGAAATGCCTCATGGGCGAGGTATAATATCTATTTCAATCAATAACTGTTTTAATATTCCCGAACAAATGTTTTGTTTCTGTATAGAAAATAAAAATAAAGAATAAAAGTTTTTAATCGCACATTGCTTACGAGAATAATCGTTTTAAATGAGTTAGGAGTTTTTTGCAATGGATGTGTAACAAGACAATAAAACATGATCAATGGAATAAACGGGCCACTTCCTAGTGTTCAGTGCATATTAACTTATTAAGAACACAATTAGAAAAGTAATTAACAACCACTATTCAATAATAAATGAACACGATAACAATATTATTCATCATTATAACAAATATCTTTTCAAGACATAACATTAAGCAATTTTTTTGTGCAAACTTTGTTATTTTTCAGATCATGTTTTAAAGGAATCACTTCAACACGACTGTCTTTTAAGAGTGAGATATCAGGGCTTTCTTGAATGAAGTTAAATTAAGAAATTTAGGCATCATGGCAGCGGCTTCGAAGAAGAGACGAAACGTGATTATAGCCATGGACGGTAGTGATGCCTCGCTTAATGCATTTAATTGTACGTATAGGCACTCGACTATGGTGAGAGTAAAATGATCCTTTATAAATCAGATTGAAAATTCTGACAGCATGCATTTATACCACACGCGATAATCATGAATAAATCATACACGAATTGTCAATAGCACATGTGGACATTACTGTGTGTCACAGGTTTGTTTCTTTTCCCTCAATTAACCTTGGTTTATTTTTATGAAAGATGATCTGATGGTCATGGCCATTTCAAAACTTTGAACCCTTTGAAAATAACTTTTTTTAATATTAATTGTATGCCTTTTAAAGTAAAATTCAACTTTTTACTTTGAATATAAATATTCAATTAGTTTATGGTAGTAAAAGTAGTAAAAGTTATTATAATACTTTATTTTTTAGCTTGATCTGTTGTATATTATCTTGACCACTTACACCTTCAATGTACATTTCTATTAAATTTTTGTCTTTTGTAAAGACAAATGTCTGCTTTGATTTATATTTATTTTAAGATGTATACATTTGCTTATGATTTATACTGCTCCTTACTAGAAGATGTTCTTTTACCCTGTTTACAGTGTGCATAAATAACATATGCATATACATGTTTATTCTAGGGTACCGAACGATGGCCCGAAAAGAATCTGACAGGATAACTTTGGTTCATGCTGTTGAAATATACCACTCTATATACACTTCTCCATTATTTCATGGTAAAACGACTATTATTTATTCTTCATTTTTACTTTGCACATATTTACATGTATGTTATGAAAATATTTCTGCATGATTATTGATACATGTACAGTGTATCCATTATACTAGTAATTTCCAAAGAGTATCAATTTTTAAGTTAAATGGGCAGACCGAAATAAATTTTCATTTTAAAAATTAATCATCTCATATTACAAGTTATATGCGTATGATAATTAATCTTCTTTTAAGTCAAAATCTTTGATTATTGAAGGAAATTTTGAAACACATACAACACACTAACCTAATCACAAACGCAAAGAATATAGGTTCCTAATATTCTATTTTTTTCGACATCTTGATAAACTTTAAGTTAAAAAATGAAAATAAAGATTTATAAATTTAACTTTTAATTAGCAGAAAATATTTAAATCAATATATTCTAACTGCAGACATTCCATTTGCGGTGGATGTAAATGCTGTAAGGAAAGCATATGCTGACCATAAAATAGATACTGAAAACAAGCTTTACGACTTAGCCCTGTTGATGAAGTCATTTTGTGTAAGTAATCGATCGCTGCTTATTAACAACTGCAGGACACCGTAGTTCTGGCGGATTTAGAGGGGGGGGGGCCAGGGGGCCCGGCCCGGCCCCCCCCCTTTTCGAGTCCAAAAAATACACAATATTTGATAAATCAATGTTTCTTTGGTGTGGCTGTGGGCCCCTACCCTGACCTCAAACTGGTCGGCCCCCCCTTTTCAAAATTCCTGGATCCGCCACTGCTTCATAACGTTCTTTTAATGAAAGCATTTTTGTTCATTAAGTAATGAATTATTACAATTTTGATTATAGAAAATAGGTAATGATGCATGTATGTGTTATCCACCCTACTTATATAAAAGCAAACATTTTACGTATACACACAGTAGATATTGAATCATGCATGGTATTTGCTTCTAAATATATTGATGATAATACACTAAGAGATACAATACATAATAATGAATATTTCATGCAGATTGAGGGGAAGGTCCGAAGTGTACATGCAGACGATCCTGGAGAGGGACTAGTTCGCATCGCGGAAGAATTAGAAGCTGACATGATAGTGATGGGAACACGAGGACAAAACAAATTGAGGCGGACGGTCACCGGAAGTGTTAGTGATTATGTCCTTCATCACGCCACTGCACCAGTTCTTATTTGTCCTCCCAAACATGTGATTAAGTAGTGGAAATACGGTATAAAAGATTGATGGATACAAGAAAAACAATGATACAACCTGTGCCAAGATAAAGTCTATCTTGCCATTCACTCTCTCCGGGGTTTTTAGATGTACATAATTTAGACTTCCTTGGCAATTTCATTGTATTTGTTATTGTAAATTGCATGAGGTTTTCATTATTCAATTCATTATTCAATTCAGACTAGACACATTTTATGGAAGATAAGAAAAAAAGAAATCTTAAATAATTTTTCGACATTTTCATTTGTTTTTAACATATGATATAAAACATGTTGATACAAAAATGTTGCTTTAGTTATTTTGCGAGTTTCACTTATCCTGTGTGCAGTGCTTCAAATTAATCTACATATATATCAAATATATAATGACTCATTCTTCATCGATTATATTTGATACAAGTTGCTGTCCTTTAAATAAGGACTGCAATACCATATGCATGGGTTTTTAACCGAAATTCAATTTAGGTAAAATTTAAGTGTGTAACTATTCATGTAACTATTCATGTATATTTGTTCGCATTTTCTACAATGATCTGCCTTGTTTGACTTATATATAGTTCTTTCATAGCAAAATTGTAAAATCTTATCTCCGATTAGCCTTTAGTTTTGTCATTTTAAAAAATCGGGCTAGTTTGATACATTTAACACAATTATAACGACCGGGACTTGATTTATGCGGAATAAATCTATCATTTGAATTGAAATTGAAATAGATCTGATGGTACACGTGTAGAACAGCAATGTAATACTCATATTTTTTTTTCGGACCCCCCCCCCTTCCCCCACATGGAAAACCAGTGCTACAGGCCTCTATCAAGCTGTATTGTGCCCGTGAAAACTTGTCCCAACTTTCTTAAAAGCGAAAACTAGTCGTTTAATAAAGTTTTTAATGAAACTTGTTAATTTATCTAAATGCTCTAGTTTTTGAAGTTTGTCAATGTTTAATTTGTATATTCATAGGCGTCAGAACCGGGGGGGGGGGCTTTTTTGCAAACATAGACATAGGCATTAAAAATTGGGGTTTACCTTTTTTGTTGGTTTAGCCACCCTCCCTTTCAAGTAACCGCCCCACTTTCAATTTGCTTCCGACGCCTTTAATTGTTTATAAATTTCTCTCATATATATTATTAATACTTTTTAAAAGTATATGTATAAGAGAGAAATTTGGATCTGCCAATGAATAATTATATAAAGACGATATGCAGATTTAAAAGTGAGATTTGTCAATGAATGACATATTCTAATTTGAATAGAGCGAATTATTCTACGTGCAAGTTGTCTACGAGAGAACTCTCTAGCATTCTCGCGCATGCGTAGTCTGACATTTGCCCATGGCATCCTGTTTAACCTCGCTTATATATTTACTGCGTGGACTTCAGGGTCCACGCAATTAAATTCAATGATCTACATTGGAAATCAGGTGGAATACCGTCCAAACGTTTGGAATTGCTGAGGCAAGTATATACTAGTATCCTAGAGTACTGTATCATAATATATTCTAAGGAACATTTCAATATACCTGTACTTGCTTAATTTAGCAATATTGCAGGTATATTTAGCGTCCTTCGTGAAAGGAAAATGATTTTACATGTAATATCATCACCTCCTCTTCACCTAAGCAACATTTGCACTAGTTTTAAAATGCACCTAATCTAGATATAACCAATTTTAAGACAATGATGTCACTGAGAATATTTTGGACTGAAGAAATAATATTTTGAATCTAAAAAAGCTTAAACTAATTTTGATAATTATGTTAATTGTGAAGAATGCAATTACCTTGCTAACTTTCTTTTTTAAAATACATTAAAATTCTTTATAAATAAGATTTTTGAAAACTGCCAAAAAACTTTCTACATTGGTGTTCTCTAGCTCTCGAATTAAATCTTCTTTATATGTAGGTATGTGTTTGACAATGTGCAAAGTCATTCATTATTAATAAATATATGCAAATCAAATGTTATATAATTTTCATTGGATTTATCATGCACACGAATTTTAACTTTAGTTTTAGATAAGGAATATGCATGTGCATTTAATATAGATAAAATTTTCTCATAAAAAATCTCGTTTAAAAGAGATTAATTTGGAGCGTTCAGGAACAAATAACATTTCTGAGATTTTTAAGCATATTTGTAATTATTCATTATCAGAACATTCCAAAAAAGTAAGCCTCGAATATTCTATATTCTAAAGGTTGGTACAAACGCAAAATCTTCAAATCAAAACGGCATTTTAATTTTTCCTTGTCTATTGGAAATAATATATTATATATAATAATACTATAATAATGCTAATATATAATATAATATAAAATAAAAAAAAGAGGAACATGGATTAAATAATGAGTTAAAGCGTTACATTCCATATGTTCAATGATATCTTTCTAATTCAGCATTTATAACAGAATCGATATTTTGTTGGTAAACGAAATCAATTGGAACAGTTGCCATTTTTTGCACATTCCGCTGTTTTGATCATAAACTGTATTTTCTGGACATTTTATTCCAGTTGCTGTACCGTTTTCACATTTGTAATAAGCATCGCATTGCCGGTTAGTAAATTGATAATTTCCGTCTGATTGCCCCTCACAAGAAGGTAGCTCACCATGTGGATATTCAAGTTTTGGAATTTCGAACGGAGATGTACATTTTCCGTTGAAGGGAAAAGTCACTGTTTTCCAAAAACTATCGTATGGACAATATCCTTCACAGACGTTATGTTGTTTCTCACAGATCATGTAGTATGGTGAAAGATTTCTTATTGAATGTTCATGCAACCCATCTGATTTATTTATGCCACTTGGGTAGATGCTGTTATCGAAATAATGAGGGCTGCGGTTCGTCTCAAAATAGGCACCTGAAATTAAAAAAAAATCTATCCACTTAGAAATTTTTTTTTCTTTGGACTTCAATCAAATATACAAAACATAAAAATATTTTTTAGTATTCTATCATTCCACTCACTATGATAAATGAAAATGAAACCTGACCCATTCTAAAATTTACAGGGTGATATCATAACTCAATAAATTCTAAAGTTTACTTTAAACACCAGTCAAGGAAATCTGAACAGGCACTATATTTTATCATCCATTTTTTTTTTATCGTATGTATGTTCTCTATGTTTTATTATACTCACATTCATCTGATCCTTCATTACTTTTCCCACAAGAAATATATTTGTTAATACATTGTTGTGTTTCCTCTGAAAAAAAGTTAGGATATGGACATTCCTTCATTTCAAACAAGACTCTTATTATTTTTAACATTGTAGCTGTTTGAATCACAATAAAATTCACATTGTCTACCCAATCCAACTTGCCCCTTCTTGCATTCGCCACTTTTTGCTTCAAAAACTGTGTCATTCGGACATTTCGTTCCAGTACGTGTACCATTTACACATTTAAAATATACTCTACATTTTAAGGTATTGTAATAAAACTTAGAGAAATGGTATTTTCCATCTCCAAGTTCAGAACATCTCGTTGAACGTTCAGGTATTTCGAAATTAGGAGTACATTTCCCATTATATGGGAAAGAACTTGTCTCCCAAATTAAATCAGAGGGACAAAGACCTTTCTCGATAACTCTTTCTTGGTGACATATCACGTAATAAGGGGATCCTTCTAGATATGTCCAAGTTTGCATTCCATCTGATTTACCCTCACATGTAGGTTTCCATCTTTCACAGGGTGCTCCGCAACTACCGTATCTGCAGTGGCCTCTTGCATTTATTCTGTAATCACCTGGTTGATATAAAATGTGTTAATGAAATTTCATTTGAAACAATTTAATCAGTGTGTTAAGTATGTGAATATGTATGAGAGAAAGAAAGTCCTGGAAGTCTTACATTCACTTTTAATTTCAAGTCGATCGCCGCATTCTACTTCTGAATATTTTTCGCACTGAAGAGTTTTTGTTGAAAACATGTCTGGATATCTACATTCTGCCATATGAAATGGAAATCTTATATCACTGATATTAACTGCGCAGTTGTAGTAGAGCTGACATTCTACTGGGTGTGCAAAGATCAGGAATGGGTTCCTTTTACAAACGTCTTTCACCATGTTTTCTACGTAATGAAAATTCAAGGTAAATAAGTGAGCATGTTTCCTTTTTAAATTTCTTGAAAACCATTCGTATTTTTTAAAAATAATTTTTCTAATTACAATCTGATTGAGTCAGATGCTGACATACGCTTTCTGCCCAATTTTTAGGGCATTATTTAATACACCAAATTGACTACGATTTTTCTGTTCTCATTGCAATGCCCACCCGGCTGATGCTACCTACCGGTAGACCAAAGATATATGCTCACCCCTCTTCAGCATTTGATCCCATCTCTAATTTTTAGGAGGAAATATTTGCTTTTCTTCCAATTTGTATAGTTTTAAAGGTGCTTGGACATAAATTAGAAATTAATATTTTCACAAATTTTTTTGATGATTCTATGGATAAATTTTGCTACATTTGTTTCGCCAGTTCCGAATTTTGACAACTTAAGAATACTTATTAATTTAAGAGCTAATAATTAATTAATTTAAAGGAATAAAAATAAATTGATCTCTATGATAATAAAGTTTATTCATAAGTGTTTGCATAAATTACGTTAAGTTTGGATTTTTGCCCTTAGTTTGTGTGCGTTATCGTACATGAACTACAGTCAACATACAAAACTTTTACAATGCAACAAATCTGAATCACCCTGACGTGTGCGTGTGCAGAAAATCCTATGTAGAGACGTCAATTTATCAAATCAATTAACATTCCATGCATCACAAGTAAGTTTGATATGTACTCTAACAAATACTATAAGCTTGTCTAAAATAAATAATTTGAACACTGGAAGATATAGGAATATGTTTGTGTGGTCATTTTACTAGTTCTGAATACCAATTATAAACATATATTATAAATTCCTTATTCATTGTTTTCATAAATGTAAACTAGACTTATTATATCCTCTTTTGAAAAGCAGGGGGATATATAGAGATGGGATGTTTGTCCACCCATTTGTCTGTACGTCAGCCTGTCTAGCTGTACATCTGTTCGTCTGATATGCTTTGATTGGGGTGTCCATTTCTTATTCGCAACTCCTTTTCTACCACTGAATGAAATTTAATAAAGCTTCACAGAATTTAATGAGAATTTCACAGAATCTTTTTAAATAGTGCCAAAGAACACCTTTAATTTATTTCTTTGATCTGACACATAATTTGGGCTCCATAAGCATAACACGGATACTACCATTCTTTCTAATATTGAAGGTAAACCCAATCGGCATCTCTTATCTGCAACTCTTATACCACTGAAAAAAATAGTGATACTTTCACAGATTCTTAATCACACAAACAATGCCATTGTTCACCTCCTTTTTTAACTTTTTGATCTAACAATTATTTTGGGTTGCCCTGCGCAAAACACGGACTTTGTCATAATAATCATAAAGGAGGCCTGGGGTATAATTAAAGTGGGCTCAGTGTTCGCGGTACATCTAGTTTCTCTTTATCCATCGATTGGATATATAAATACAGCTCAACGCACTTTTTACGCTCAAATTAACGTCGCATTGTTTTATGTAACGAGGCAACAAAATATATTTTGAAAGTGATTTCTAACTTACTTTTATGCTTATTTAACTAACTTCAAACATAATTCACAGATTACTATTTGTAGGATTTTGATATACTCTTTTGTGATGGATTCTGATAGTTCCCAAATGGTTTTTCGTGGTTTCTCGTCAAATATTAATGTCCATGTAGCCATCTACGTACCCGTTATTTATAAAGCAGTTCTTTGCCTTGCATTCATTTGACTCAAAAACATTGCAGATGATGTACCTTTTGTTTTTCTGTACAATACCATGAATCTGTAAAGCGCAATATGATAATAGTATTTTTCATTTGTTCTACTGCTTTTTATGTTAAAAAGCCGGTATTTTGTTAGGATGACTTTTTGAATCTAGCATCATCAAAGATAATTCCGACAGCAACATTCTAAAGTTTAGGACCGTAAATGTAAAAGAATTTTGTTTTCAAGGGTAACAATTAACTATTTCAAAAGATGAACAATATTTTTTTTATTCTGTCTTTTGGCATGATTTCTTTATGCAGCATTGTCATTTTTTCGGCGCTTCATTTCGACAAAACCACGACGAGTATGGAAAATGTGCAAAGTACTTCGAAAAATACTCATCTTTAAGATGTCAATTTGAAAAATTTAGCTTAAAAGTATCAAAGAAAGATGGATAATTTTAATATGTAGATACCTACGGTAAAATCATACAGATGTAACATTCTATCATTTATAAAATTAATGAAGTGCCATTTAAACCATCGACTATAAAACTTTAAGATAATTAATCTAGAAAATATGTACCTTTAACATGAGATATTATATATCTATTAGAGCTATGGTCATTAATGTTCATTTTATTGCAAAAACAATGTGACCTTAATTTCTGTGAAAAACCATGTGAGCTTAAAAAGTGCGTTGAGCTGTAACTTACTGATTACCAAATATTTTAATCTTTCTCAGGCATGCCAATGGATAATGTGTGGGGCACATTCTTTTTTTAAATTTAGGGTCGAATTGAATGGGAACTGCTAGGGTATTCGGAACTCGTCGACTTATTCTTAAGGACAGACGAGACGTTCCTTAATAATATATAATTTTTCTAGGAGTTTGTCATTGAAGAATTGCTACTTAAACATGTTTACTCACAAAAAATTGAGGTACCTTACCATGCAATTTTGCAAGATACCAGGAGTAGTTTTTCTTATATAATCCTTTGGGGAAGAAAATTAATTTTCCAATATTAAATGTTTAAGTGTTTGGATTTTTAAAAACGTTTAGAAACTGGTTTCGAAATCAGAATGTCATTATAATTTTGAATATTTTTCAAACATTACGAAGATATACAAAACAGACTTTGAGGAACGTCTCGTATGACCTTAAATGGTAAAATGAGTACCTATGCTTACTTGCTAAATGTGTTTTTTCTTTGAGGGGGTGTTGAACTTTTATGAAACAAAAATTAATTCTACAAGTCATTGAACATAGGTGAAGTGTTATCTGATTCGATTTAGTTGCTAAAAGGACTCTCATAAATAAGCCAAAACTATCGCAGCAACAAGAACACAAACGAATACCTGTAATGGATGATGCCACAAGGTGAAATAGCAATTTTGACATGATTTCAAGATATTTAGAACAGCAGCTGGCCTGTAGCAACATTTTAGAACCATGTTAGGAAGAAGCTGAAGGATGTTGGGACTTTAAGTGAAAATGAAATTTCCAACCAAAAAACCTAGTGGTGATTTTGTAGCCCCTGAATGACATTACCCATTGTGTATCTGATCTATCCAGTGAAATTGAAGATTATTTCATCACTTACCCTTTCACATCAAAACAAAAATCTTATTCGTTCAATGAAGCAGGACATTCTCTTCAACTTACAGAAAAGGAACACAGATCCACAGACTGAGGATTTTCTTATTATTAAGGAAGTCCTGAGTCCACGGTTTAAATGTGTTTCCCGGCAATAGACAAAAGAAATACCATCTTTAGCACCTTGACCCACAAAGTGATTATATACTCGGGGAAAAAGGTATAACGCATTCGAAAATCAAAACCGATTATTACTCACAGTAATTTATGTGCTACATAGGATACTGTACATTGCAGAAGTAATTTCTAATTTTACATATGATGTAAAATTAGAAATTATTTTCTGCAATGTACATATTCTACGTAGCACACAAATGCGTGATGTCTAATGACGACAGCGAGAGCCCTCGTTTTTGTTATGTTTTACAAAATATAATATAATTCTATAAAATATTAAATATGGAATTTTGAATAAAAAACAAAAATAATTTTTAAATTACTTTAATCATTTATGATTTCATTTCATATGCATTTCATTATAGATCGTAACCAAACTGATCCAGAGGGCACTCAGGATAAGCTAAGAATAGACACACTCAGAGCCCTGTTGATGAAGTTGGTCCATCCTGCAGCTCAGCTAGTACTCTGAGCACTGGATCCAATTCTCATAGTACTACTAGTATATATAAAAATCTGTTTGCTAATGTTTTCTCTGAAAAACTGGGAAAAGCTAAAAAAAATTGCAAGATATGGTTACTGATGAAGCGTCCAGTTACAGAAATGAGGAAAGTATTCCTAAGGAAGGAAATCCTTTACACAGCTGGTGGACAGAACACGTAGTAATGATGTACCGATTAATCGATTAAATCGATATACTAATCGAAATGGTAAACAATAACTTTTAAAATATATTTTGTTGACTCCAGATATACATAATATCGCATTATTAGAATGTGACCTTAATTTGTGTTAAAAAAAAAAAAACATGTGAGCCAAAAAGTGCGCGGAGCTCTACAATGCAAATGGGAAATTATAGAATATAAATAAAAATTGTAGTATACAAATAAAAATTATACAATGTGAATATTATACAACATAGCAACGACACGTAGCAGCTTTATTGTATAATGTACATATAACATGTAAAATACGAAAATTAATAATTCTATACATATACATCATAATGTTGGATTGAACAAATATAAATAAATATTTAAACTTAATTTATTGTTCCCTACATGTCGTCCTATACTTGCATTTAAACAAGTATTCACCTCTTATATAACCTTGCTAACGAGACCTGTTCCAAGGAACCAAATGTTATAAAGCAGGTATTCTA